GAGGCAGCGTTTTTATCTGTACATTAAACGCTGCCTCAGGCAGCGTTTCTTGCGGGAATTATAACGAATTCCAGGCCTTTTTTTTCTCAATCTCTTTCACGCAATTTACACTCTCTCTCTCTCTCACTAACTCTCATTGTCAGCAACAAAGAACCACAGCCGTTGCCAACGCCTCCCCTGCCGTGCCGCCGCCCCTGCCGCCGCCAAAGTGAACGGAAGTTGTTGCCGGCATTGTCTCAGTCACTCTTTAAATCCGGGTAAACCCTAAATTCATAGTACATTGTTGAATTTTACATTGAATAGTTGGTAGTAGATAGTTGTTGTATGTTGTAGCAAATTGTGATGTAAATTGTATTAATTTGTTGCTAATTAGTAATGAAATGTGATAAATTGTTGATAATTATTGATGATAATGTGGTACATTGTTGAGGAAAAATATAGACGAAAGTGTTGATTAAATTGTCGACGAAATTGTTGATGAAATTGTCAATGATAATGTGGTTTGTTTTTGATGAAATTCTTGATGAAATTCTTGATGGTAATGTGGTCCATTATTGTGAAAAAAAATAATAAAATTGTTGATGGTAATGCGGTATTAGTATGTTGATAGTTGTATGCGGTACTAAGAGTTTATGAAATTGGTGATGAAAATGTTGATAATGAGAATGGACTTGTTTCATTGTTGTCATATTAGCTACCAGGTGGACATAGCGGAAATGTTGGGGTGCAGGCACTTGAGGTCCGGCTGGGCAGTCGATCCACGTGTTCTTCAGTACGTCGACTGGGTTGGCTTTGGTGGTATTCATCGCGTGGGCTACAGAGAAATAGATCGAGGGCTTATCACAGCATTAGTTGAGAGATGGAGGCAGGAGACACACTCCTTCCATCTTCCTGTGGGGGAGGCGACAATCACGCTGCGGGACGTCGCGATACTCACACGCCTTCCCATCCATGGGAATGCGGTGACAGGGGGTGTGGTACTTGACCCCGCAGGTTTAGTAGGTCGGGTTTTAGGGGTTCAGCCAGAGCCAAACGAGATCAGGGGCAGCGCGCTAAGGACCGGTTGGCTACGCGACACTTTTGGACATTTACCTCAGGACGCTGACGACGCCACAGTGTAGAGATACGCTCGAGCTTACTTGTTCCTGCTCATCTCGGGCGTGCTCTTTGGAAACAAGAGCGGAAGCCATCTTCAGATTATTTACCTGCAGCTGTTAGACCACGACTGGGATGAGATCCGTGGATACAGTTGGGGTAGTGCTTGTTTGGCGGTCTTGTATCGCCATCTGTGTAGAGCATCACAGCGTGGAGCACAGCTGATTGGAGGTCCTGTGGTTGTGCTACAGGTAAACCTCATCATTATCCTTAAGCCTAATTTGATAATGACTTGACGTTATTTATGCTTTACCTTTTATTTGATTTTTAAAACAGCTATGGGCTTGGGAGAACATCCATGTAGGGAGACCAGGTAGGCCTGTTGTACACCGTCCAGGGCAGCTGGACCAGGACGATCAGTACGCAGCATACGATGCTCCCCCGCTCCCTGAACCCGATCAGGCATACGGTTGTAGGTTCGTAACATTATACTTGTGTACTCAAATTTTGTTATAATTAGCTAGTACAACTTCTTAAATAATTTGTTGCCACAGGTGGGTGGTTCCCAGACTAACACATGCGCATACAGCGAGAGGTCTTCTCTACTACCGTGACGCCCTCGATCGACTCTCGGATGAACAGGTGGAATCTTGCACTAAATTTGTAATCGTTTGTTTACTCTTTATACTGTTTATTGGCATTGCCCTAACCTTTTCACGATATATCCTTGTTGCAGATGACATGGGATCCCTATTCTGCTGTGTTGGTAGAGGCCATGCCGGAACACTTGCTCGAGCATCGTGTTGAGTGGCTTGCCAGGACCCCCATGATCTGTTTCGAGGTCGTGGAGAGCCACCTACCGGACCGAGTGTTGCGACAGTTCGGACTTCACCAGCCTATCCCCATGCCCTGTGACACTAGTATTCGCCTCCACGGCATTAACCGTCGTGGAAAGTTGGAGACAAACTGGGCACTGGAGCATCATCAATTCATTGAGCTTTGGGACCAGCGGTTGGAGTCCATCGTTGACGGTCACCTGTTTCAGGGTGTTATGGATCCGCGTGATCCTTACATGGTATGGTACAGGCAGATTACACGCCTTTTCATCAACCCTACCTACACCCCACCGTCCACGCACTACCATCCAGCTTATGATGTTATCAGCGGACTTGTGAGTTTTTTCAGTTTCTTGTTTTCCAAAATTATTTGAAATTCTATATCATATTACTAATTCATGGATGATTACTGCAGGCGGGGGATATGGGTGCGATGGTTGATGCACTTTCAGATTCCTTAGCAGCCGTACCCACCAGAGCCCAGGTTGAGCGGGTGCGAGATATGGGCATACATAGCTTGCAGAGATATGGCCATGGCCATCTCGTCCACCCCAGGGACGATCATGACCCCAACTCCTTCCATTCACAGTTCGATATCGGACAGAGTAGTGGTGGAGGTCATACTTCGGGCTCTACACGGGCAGAGGATTACTTCATCCATAACACCGCTCCCGGCCACAGCCAGGATGACTCATCGTCTCGCCAGCTGACTCCACCACCGTCCCGAGACCCATTCACCACCATTCCGCATTACACGAGGCGTCCGAGGCGTGTTCGTAGACGGACGGAGGACACACAGGATGGAGATCAGTTAACTCCAATACATGAGTCCGGATAGTATTAGTTAGTTTATCCTTTTGTGGTACTCAGATATTTAACAATGTTGTATATAACGCTTACATTATTAATACAAGAAATGTTTTCTAAATGACTCTCTGTACAATTTGAAGTTTATTTCCCTTATTTGTCCGAATTTGACTTTTGTTAGTGAAACTATATCTTTTATATCCGTTATATGTATCAAGCAGCATATATTTGGTCTCCTGCACTTAAAGTGCTGTTTCACGATGGTTATCATGCTGTTGGGGTTGTTTCCAGTGTTTAATGGTTGTCGGTGGTGGTCGATGGTGGTGGAAAGGTTGGGGCTGGTGGTGGGAATGCTCTTGCGTTGTTTAGGGTGTTTTATGGTAGTTTATGGGTGGTTGAGAGTGGCGGGCGGTGGTGGTGGGGGAGGTGGTTGATGGTGGTGGGGGTGGTGGTTAATGATGGGGGTGGTGGGAATGTCCTTGCGTTGTTTAGGGTGTTTTGCATTGCATAGGGGTGGTCGAGAGTGGCGGTCGGTGGTGGTGGGGGAGGTGGTTGATGGTGGTGGATGGTGGTGGTTCATGGTGGGGCTGAGCTGATGCTGCTGGGTGAGGGTTATGTGTAGGGGCAGCAACAGATTGCAGAAACTGCTGGTGATGCAATGTAGCAGATGCTGCTGGTAATACAGTCTAGCAGAAAAACGCTGCCTGAGGCAGCGTTTTATGCTTTAACATAAAACGCAGCCTCAGGCTGCGTTTTATGCTTTAACATAAAACGTTGCCTCAGGCTGCGTTTTATGCTTCAAATAAAATGCTGCCTCAGGCTGCGTTTTATGCTTCAACATAAAACGCTGTCTCAGGCAGCGTTTTAAAGCCCATATACATATTGCAGTATAATTTGGCAAAATATACTAGTATATTTTGCCAAAATACATACCAACAGGTCAACAAGGTAAAACGCTGTCTGAGACAGCGTTTTACTTCTTGAATTTTTTTTTTAAAAAAAACTGGGTGTAAAACGCTGTCCGAGACAGCGTTTCACGCCAGAAGCTTAGTTTGGGAAATACTTTTCCCACGAGACCAATTTGGTAAATAATTTACCAATAAAGCTCAATTTGGGAAAAAATCATCAGTAATTTCTGATCTATAGTTGTGAGCTGTCTAAAATCTTGTCAATATGTATTACTACTTTTATATAATACATTTATCAAAAGCATTATCCATTTATCTTCCTTGATTAGCAGTAGTTTCTTCATTGAATTCTTAATCATTGTAGTCCCCTGAACTAAAGAATCTGTAGACACCAAAAACTGTCATTTACCTCTATGTGCATACACCTCCATTAAAACGAGAAGTTAATACAGTATTATTTTGCTCTTGATATTTCCTTCTTGTTAGGTTGCAACACATAAAATATACGAAAATGACCCAGTACCCTTTTTGTTTGCTGGGTTGCACTGCCGACAAAAGTCAGCTAAATTATTCTACTGCTAATTCTTGAATTTAGGAAACTAGCCTCTTTCCACCAGATTAAGCTACCAACCAGATGATCAAACTGTTTAACTTACATTTTCTGTTATGAAATAAGTGAAATCTTATGAGTGCAATCATCAACTCTTTTTTCCAACAAGTCTTACAGCAATTTGGTGTTTATGGAGCCACTTCTGAAGTCCGTATATGTTGCAGCAGCATCACGATGGCATGCCACAACTGTCGCACCATCCTTAATTTTGGTGAATGTTTTCAGCAGTACCATATAGATGGAAAAACCTGTAAACACGCTATCAAGTTCACCAAGTAGATGCTCCTGTAATTTGTGCTGACATGATTAGTATCCCCCAAAACATAGGGTATATATACTTGGATTTACTCATCTCCTGCTTTCTGCTCAAAGATAGATGTGAGTGCAGATTTTGTTACATGTTTACTCGATATAGGCATCTACAAATCTTCTCCCCTTTCTTCTTCAACAAAGCATTGGTTCCGTTGTGGGGTGAAATACAGAGACGTGTCATCTGACAGACATATAATGCTTAACAGACATTATTGGTGATCTTAAATTATGCTTGTAACCATTTTTGCCAATCTGCTTTACTGTCAAATTTAAGAAAACTAGGTTGCAAGCTTTTTTCCTCAAAAAAAAAAAAAAAAAAAAAGGTTGCAAGCTTTTAGACTGTCTGCAATATTTAACAATAAAAAGATAAGCAATACTATCATATATTCTTACTATTGAAATTATTACTAAAAAGCCAGGAAACCACAAGGATGAAACAACCTCGAAATGAATGATTTTTATTCCATATGATCTTGAATAACAAATGAATAGACATATTCCTGAATAACAGCTACAAAGAATTTTTTTGACAAAAGAATTGAAGAATAGACATGAAAAAACTGTGCTTCATACAGTCTAGCTAGAAATATGTATGGACCTATGTAAGAAATCAAACTGAAATCTGTATCGAAAAAATGGCTAACTGTATCCTGTAGAACTGTGATCCACAAAAAGAATTTTATCTGCATGAAAGAATCAAAGAATTCCTCTACACCTACAAAGAATTCGACTTCCTACACTTCGAGCAAAATCCATCAGCAAGCAGAATCAAATTGGCTGGGAAAAGCTGGAAGAACTCCCTGCAGCAGCATCAACAGAACCCCACAAAGAGATGGTATACAAAGGCTGATCCATCCATCTCAATGTAATGCCTTCATCTCCTTGCTGTTCCACATTGTACCTTTCATTTGAGTACATCTTCAGCAACATCTGGCTTTGAAACACCTCTCTTTCGTCCCTCCTGATACCCCGGAAACCTTCTTGCTCCATTCTCCTTTTCCAATTGCCGAACTTCTCATGCCTTTCAATCCTGTCACTCCCTTCACAAGCAACTATGTTCCTCATCTCGCGCCCAAACATCTCCTCAATCTTCACCCTTGCTGGACTATCAAAAGGGAGACTAGAATCAATTGAATCAAAGATGGCCGAGTAGTATCTTAGTGAATTACAAACCCGCATCTCCAAAGTGGGCTCGTTGTGCTCAGCTTCTTGCTCAGCCATAACCAAAGCTATAGGGTTAGTGCTTCGGATTATACCCATGAAGTCCCTAAATGCACCATTATTAGCATCATATAGGGTCTTGTGGAGCTGTAATATGCAATTCGCTGCCACACTTTCTCCTTCCTTGACATGGAGCATCCATAGCCTAACATCCTCCAAACGATCAACAACCGGATGAAACTCAAAAGGCAGATTAAATGCCTCAGCAAAGCTAGCCAACCTTTCTCCTGTCTCGACTAATTCCTGCTTAGACTCCCCTATCCCAGTGATCCTAACATGACTAGGAGGGTTACGCCTCGTGGCTAAGCTTTGAAAAAAACCAGGCCATTGCAGCCCTTGCTTGACATCAAAGTCTATGATATGCACCTTATCCTTCCCTTCAAAGGCTCTCAGCAGCATCTCATTAGCAGTGAAGTGAATGAACTTCGGAATAGGACTAATCTGATTCAACAACCTGAATGCAGCTGCACCGGACTCATCATCGAATCGATCAAGCTCCCTAGGGACACTTATGTGAAATATTCGAGGCCATAACCTTGTCACCCTCAGGGCTAAAGCCTCAGTGAAGTAAGCTGTAAGACGGCCGATAGTAGACCGGCCTCTTGGAGAAGCCTGCTCCCCCAACTTAGCAATAAAATGATTAATTGCAGGAACATTCCTTGATGCAATACCTTCCACACAACCCATAAGAAAGCTGACAAGCTCGAACCCTTGCTGCTCGGTCTGATCATCGTCGTTGTGAGTCCTAACCGCCCTAGAACCATCACCAGGGTTAGGATTCATGGACCCATTTCCATACTCATGCTCAGAAACATTCTCATTGAGCCTAAGCCCCAAGCTATGACTCTCAGAAGAAGAACTTGAACCTGATGTTGTTGTTGTAACAGGTCCATGACTTGGCTCACCTTCAATTTCACCACCATACTCAGCAATCTCAGTAATACCAGACCCAATCCAAGGGTTATGCGACAGTGGCGGCAATGGCGGCAGCGAAACCACATCAGTGGGAGCACCAAAACACACCCTCCTTTCTTCTTCCCCTGAACAAGAGATTGAAAATGGAAGTTGAGGGTAATTAACCACCCCAAAACCAGGTTGTTGCATCCAAAAACCCTCAGATTCTCCAAAATCAAATCTTCCCTTCTTCCTTCTAGACCCTTCTTCTTCTTCATCTTCATCATCATCTTCTTCAAAAGAGCCTTGATCACTGAACCTCCTTTTCAAGTTCTTCCCTTTTTCACCCCAAAACTCTGCCTTGATCTCCCTTCTTCCCTCGGGCGAAGGCGGTACCTTGATTGTCTGCTTCAGTCCCTTTGTTTCGATCGGCTTCTCGACTGATAACCCCACCACCGGTGCTCGAATCTGCGGCGGACGAGTGACTGACACTTCTTTTCTTGAAAAATTGCAGGGTAAATCCAATCTCTGTGTGCTCATTGAAGGTAATGGATAATGACAAGCTGATGCTTCACTCCTTAATCTATGCCTTGGTGACAATAATGTTGATGAACACCCAGCCAACATTCTTCTCAACTAAAAACCACCTTTTCCTTCTTCTTCTTCCCTATTTTTCCTCTGTTTTTCTTCTTTTTCCTCTGTTTTTCTTCTTTTTCCTCTGTTTTTTTCTTTTTTCCTCTGTTTTCCTTTCACACACTCTGTTTTCTGATGTATGCTCTGTTCTAAAATCTCAAAACATGCACACACTATGCACTATTGTAGTATAATAATAGTTATGTTTGTCTGTGCGCTATGTAAATTTTGTAGGTGAGTGTGTGCGAATTCTATGAACAAAAACCGGAATCCGATGAGACGAAAAATCGAGTGAATTGTGATTTGTGAATTGTGGTGTGTTTTTCTACAAAGAATTGGGTTATAATGTGATCTATATGAGTATTTTATGTGCAATTAAGAATGAATCAATGAATTTTGGAATAACTACAAATAATGATGTAAATCAAAAGCTATAACATATGAACAAAAATCAATAATGAATGAATCTAATCAAATTGAATCAAAATTCAAAGAAAGAAATAAATCATCGGATTCCAATAATATTATGAATGAAAAAAGCTCATTTGAAAAGTCTTAGAATTGCAAATTGAATTGAATAAAATAAAAGAGAAGTAAAGAAACATACTTGATCATCAAAATTGAGGCAGAATTTCTGAAGAACAGAGGAAGAACAACAACAACCCAATTCAGCGAATTCCATAGCAAGCAGCAAGAAATCAAAAACCCCACCAAAATTCACTTAAGAAACAACATTTCCCAACCTAAGATGAACAAAAACACAACCTTAATTAACCCAAAAAAACCATAAAACTTAAACAAACTCTTTTTATATAATGAAATGAAACAATAAAAAAAAAAAAGTAAAGATACCAACTTTATCGTCTTTCTCTCACTACTTCCATAGCTGTCCCTATCAAAGCTACTTTGTTGACCGGAAATTGGGGTGCTTTTTAAGTACTGAGAACTGGAAAATGATGGGAAATAGTGTGAATTTGGAGTGTTATTGAACGTTGGATTGAAATCGGACGGTTGAGATTAAGTTAAAAGATGGTATGTTACCGTTGGAGAGATGTCGGTGAAATATGACCGTTGAAGAGAAAGAGGGAAGAAGAAGAGTTGAGGAGTTGGTTCGACTTTTATGGGAGTTTGTTGATGATATAAATTTCCACGTGGATTGCACGTGCTTGTCTCACTATGATTACCCGCCCGTGTAGTTTATGACCGTTGTATTTTCCTTTGTTTGTTCTTTCTTGCTTTTGAAATTGTTTTTTTTTTTTTTTTTTTTGGAGGTATTAGTGTTATTATTGTGGGGTGTTTTTCTTTTTTAAGAAGTATTTTGGTGGTTAGTGAGCTTTAAGCAAGACGAATAGTATTATTGGATTAATAAGAAAAAAAAAGTTACTTTCTAGGAGATTATATTACAACCAACAATAAGCTAAATTAAGCAAAAATAAGTTGAAACGAAATAACCTTTGTCTAATTCTATAAGTTTATTTATTTATCAGTACTTTATACAAAGTAGTTTATATTGAGTGCAAATGTACTAAGAAAGGCTATAAGTCTATGCCCATAATTACTATCGTTTGAAATGACAATAACAAGTGTGTTGGTATATTTATACCTTATGGTTAGCACTGTCAAACGGTTTGACAGTTCGGGTTTGGTTCGGTATTAAATCGGGTCGGTATTAAATCGGTTTAAGTGTCTCGCGGGTCGGTTTCAGTTCGGTTTAAATATTTATCGGTTCGATTCGGTTTCGATTTAATCTTGATCGGTTTTAATTCGGTTCGGGTTGTAAACAGTCCGGGTAGTAAACGGTTCGATGCAAACGGGTTGCGGTTTATTAATGGTTCGGTGTAAACAGTTTTTATCCCGGTTCAAACAGTTTCGGGTTGGAAGCGGTTTCGGGTTGGAAACAGTTCGGTTCTTTTTTGGTTCGGTTTATAACTGGTTCGGTTTTTTTCGGTTCAGTTTATAACTGATCCGGTTCTTTTTTGGTTCAATTTATAACTAGTTCGGTTCTTCTGCGGTTTAACGTTATTCGGATCGGTTCCATTCCGAGTTTACTAAATTACGATTCGGGTCGGTTTTCGGTTTCAAAAAATCAATTGTTTATCGAGTCGTTTGGATTTGGGCAGTTAAATGGTTTTAGTTTGAAATTTGATAGTATTTGCTGGTTAACAAGTTTTATATAAAGTAAAGACTTCATCATTTCATATTTAGGCATCATATTATAAACAAATTCACATTGATTTTATAAATATATATCATGTTCTGTTTCAAGTTTAGTCATATTGATCTTACTAGTGTATTACGAAGTAGATTATAAAAGTTAGTGAATTAATGTATTATTGTTTTACAACTAGGTTGTTATATGTTTCTTATTAAATCATTTAAATACTAGTGTCATAGTCATGATTTGATGAGTTCTTATTAAATGGAAATTTGCAATTTGGTAATTCGATACTTGATTAATCAACAAGACTGATAATTATGGCTCATTTATCTTTATATATTTTCATGAAATTATGAAGATATTACAAAGTAGTTTGATTTGTGTAATGAAAGAAAACATTAATGATTTATTAACAAGGTAATATTGATTAGTTCAATCGATCGTATGTACACATTAACGCATAGCATCTAACCATCTCATAGTTAAATACTTCGTATGTATTAGTACAAAGTTATAAATTAGTGAACATTATTTTGATTGGATCAATAACTTGAGCTGTTGTTTTAAATTAAATTAGGATCATTGTTCGTGTAGTTTAAGTATAATGATCTACACCATCTCTAACTATTATTTTAATACTCCATCCGTCCCTTTATTTTGTCCCTTTGTCATTTTTGGGGTCAAACTTTGAAAATATTGACCATAAATTACCACTAATCTATAAAACAGTAAAACTTAATTTTGTCACGAGACTCATGAGTCATGAGTCATGACTTCATGAGTGATCTTTTTAAATTTGTATCATTATATATTTTATTAATATAACGTTTTTATAATTTTTACTTGTATGAAAATAAAGATATACTACGTAGATGTTTTAATACGCGTCTTGGAGACTGATCCCGATCAAATGAATACACAACACACAAAACATCATCTAATCAGTCTCAACCATAGATCAAAAACAATCTACGGTTAATTTTTTTCTCCCACAACACACACGGATCACCACTCTCAACCATAGATTAAAAACAATCTACGGTTAGCTTTTTTTCCCCACAACACACACGGATCACCATTCTCAACCATAGATTAAAAAATCAATGGTTAGATTTACATCTCAACCATTTTGATACCCTAATTCCACTTTCACTTTCACGCCTCCTAGTTCTTTCTCTCTCTCATCTCCATCTCAGATCTCACTCATTCATTCACGGCGCCTCTTCGTTTGTCGTCTCTCTCATTCATTTTCAATTCTCCCTAATTCATTCACGGCGCCTTTCGTTCGTTGTTGCTGCTCATCGGTGTTGTTGCTGCTCTAATCCTCGCTTATCAGTGTTGTTGCTGCTCTAAACCTCTCTTTTTTTGTCCAGGTATGATATCTCTCTTCCTCGTACTTCTTGCAACTGATTTAATCTGATTTATGAAGTAGAAGAATTAAAGTTGTAGTTGATTTAATGAGTATATAATTGTATAATTGTAATTTAGTGGTTTACTGTATAACTCTGATTAGTGGTCTATCTTAAGTTAGTTAGTATTTGACGGTTGTATTTCTTGACTGCTTTGCATTATTGTTTGCATATCAATCAAAATGAATCAAGATTAAAGAATTGAACAGGAAAGAGTGAAAGACCAATAATCAAATTTGACATTAAAATTTAGGTTTTCTAAGCTACCACACTATATAACATAGTTGTCCACTACGTTTTGCATTATTATAGTTATAATTCCCCTTAATGAGTATATAACTGTATAATTGTAAGTTAGTGGTAATAGTATATAATATGGGTTCATCTTATTTAATTTTCTAGTAGTTAAAAATTAATGGGTTGCTACTGAAATTTGATTATATGAGTTTATTAGCGTTTATAGAAAAATAATATGGGATTAATGACTTTTCACTCTCTATTCTATTTGTTGGTTTCACTATTAAGTGTACATCTCAATGTAATGGGTTTTCGACTCTTAACTAGAGTGTAAAAAATACCTAAATGTGTTAGCATTGATAGGGACAATTAATTGTTATAAGGCTGAAATGTGTTGTTTTGATCCTGTTTTTTCAGCAATGGATCAAGGGTATGAAAATTATGATGAGGACAGACAAGATTATTTAGAAACTTCAGATTCTCAAAACACTATTCAGAATCAAGATTCTTCTCAGCAACAAGTCACTACCACTAGTGGTAGTAAGCGTGGACGAACATCAGATGTGTGGAGGCATTACACCTTTTTTGATAAGATTGTTGGTCTTGCTCCGATAAGATATGCGCGATGCAATGTTTGCGGTAATGAATATAAAGCACCAGGTAAGGCTGATACTTCCACTTGTAAAGCTCATACTAAGGCATGCATGGGTAAAAATATACATCATCTTGCAAATCTTGAAAGTGTTGTTGATCCTACGTTTAATCAAACTCGTCATTTACAATTGCTTGCTAGAGCTATAATTTTGCATTCCTATCCTTTAAATATTGTGGAGCATCATGGCCTTAGGGAAGTTTTTACGAATCTGAATCCTAATGTGAAGCATGTGTGTAGAAACACTATGTTGAAATATTGTATTGCTGAGCATGATAAGTTTAAGTCCTTGTTGTTGCAATCTTTTCTGGAATTGAAGGTAGAGTTAGCTTCACTTGTGACTTGTGGACAGCATGCACTAATCGAGGTTATCTCACTTTAACTGCACATTATGTTGATAAAAATTGGTGTCTAAGGTCTAAAATTCTGAATTTTAGATATTGTGGTCCTCCTCATACTGGTGTTGAGATAGAAAAATTTGTGTTTAAACTTATTGGGGAGTGGAACCTTCAAGGTAAAGCTTTTGCAATTACTGTTGATAATGCTCGATCTATGGATGTTATGGTTAAACTTTTGAAGAAAGATTTAATGTTGACTTTTCCTCTTCCTTGTAATGGTAAATTTTTTCATATTCGATGTTCAGCTCATGTCTTGAACATTATTGTTCAAAGAGGTTTGAAAGAAGTTGATAGTAGTGTTCAAAAATTGCGTGAGCTTTGTAAATATATTGATTCTTCGGACTCTAGACTTACTCAATTTGAGCATACTCTTTCTGAGGTTAACTGTCTATTTAACGGTAAGTTACGTCTTGATGTTGTGACTCGTTGGAATGCCACCTATACGATGCTCCGAAAAGCTTTAGAAGCAAAGGAAGCCTTGAAAGTGGTTATCGATAAGTATATGGGTTATGAATTCAAACTTTCGGATGATGAATGGGATACCCTTGAAAAAATATGTCATTTCCTAAAGCCATTTTATGAAATCACTATGTTATTTTCTGGTTCTGAATATCCTACCGCAAATTTGTATTTTGCTAGTGTTTTGAAAATTGAGCACACAATAACTTAAGCCCATATAGACCCTAAACTTGCACCCATGGCAAAAGTTATGCTTGAAAAGTTTGAGGGCTATTGGGATGACTATAGTTTGATCCTTTCAATAGCTATTGTTCTTGATCCTCGCTATAAGCTTTTTCGATTGACGAATATGTTGAAAGTGCTTTATGTTGAGGAGGCATGTGTTGAAAAGGCGAAGGTGATTAAAGATGCTCTTTTGGAGTTGTATAACTTTTATTCTTCTATGTGTTCCGGTTTTAAGTCAAGTACAATTGTTCCCCCCTCCATCCCTATTGGGGTTGATAAATCAAATAGTCTCTTGGATGATGATGATATATTCAAGGTAATCATTTTCTGTTTATTGTGGTTTACTAAAATAATAATTATATGTCTTAATTTTTATTATTTAATAAAAGCATATTTTTTGCACTTTTCTAGGATGTTGATGTTGATGATAGCCTAAATCGACCATCGATGGAGATTGATAATTATTTGAATACTCCTCGTCAACCATCAACTGAAGGGCAGAATTATGATGTTCTCAAGTATTGGGAATCTCAAATTAATGTGTACCCCATATTAGCTATTATGGCTAGGGATGTTTTGGCCATTCCTATTACATCGGTAGCCTCTGAGTCTTCTTTTAGCATGGGTGGTCGTATTTTAAACAAGTATAGGAGTGCACTTTTGCCTAAGAATGTTGAGGCGTTGGTTACCACACAAAATTGGTTACGTGGTTATGATTGTG